AATTTTTAATCTTGCCTGTAATCTTCTCCAATATAATAGCTATTTTAAAGCCATTGGCTTTTCCTAGATAATATCTAAATTCCCATGGCTGTATTTCCATCATCCTTTGTTTTTCCTCGTTCCTGTTCTTGTTTTCTTACCTATTTCCATGCCCAGTTATTTTTTTATTTTGTACTGATACCATATTTGCAAAATATATTTATAGAAAATATGAGATCATGGGTTAATTAAATCTTAGGGGAATTTGATTCTGCTCTGTGTCTGAGGGCACATAACATTAATCATTTTCAGGAATAAGGATGGTTCAAAGTAGATCTGCAGTCTCTGGAAGGCCTTTTTATGACCTTAAACCTAAGATTACACTTTGGGACTAAACTCATGAACCTTTGGTGGCCCTGGAGTCCAATCCTTTTCCTGTGAAATGCTGTTCCTATTCATAATTGGCGAAAAAGGGATCCCCGAAATGATTCTACGTCCTGGGAGTCCATTCTTCTCTGCATCCTGGCCTGGTAATTTTTCACTCTTTTGCTCTCCAATACTTTTAAGCATTAAAAAAATAAAACCTACTGTTCTTAGTAGTCTTCAACTACCTAGTTACTTCTCTTTATTATTATTGGACTTTGAAATCCATAAACAGCCTTACAATTCTAGAACCTGTATCTCCTCAGGTTCTATTTCAGTATTTACCATACCTTCATGTCTGAATTTTTGTTTATTTAGGATACATTGTCTGAGAAGTGTGGTGTCAATATTAATACTATTATAGTGCTTAATATCATAATTTTGTTTATATTATATGGTATTATTTTTATGGGTTTCTTTAGAGGAAGAACAAAGCAAAAGCAAGGGTGTTCTACCTTATGTATAACTTTCATAATTTTTCATAAAAACAAATTTATTTATCAGATTCTCAGCTGTTTTAAATAATCTGTTATGATATTTCAAAATTATAGCAACTAGATGTCCCTCTTTTTAGCTTCTGAGTAGAAAAATTATATCTTGTGATAAAATATGTATATATATTTAAATATTTAAATCAATAGGAACAAAATGAAATGCTATATTTTAACACTTATAAATGTGGAATTATTTTATATTCTGTTTTTTAGAAAGTGATACTTATCATGTAATGTGATCATTCACATAAATGGTAACCATTATTTAGGTGACATATAATGATAATATTTACCCTTTCAAAGTCCCTAATGAATATTTCAGCCTAAATCTGTTTTATAAAAAGATCTGGCTGTTTGCTTAGTGGGAATAGAGGATGATTATCTCTTTGCTTAGACACAGAAATACTTTGAAGTTATGTTTTTAATTAAGCCATGCAGAAGATTTCTGAGGCTTTTAATGTTTGTATCTAATATTTATACAGAAAGATGCTGAATTTTATTTTTTAAATTTTTAAATTTTTTTAAGATGCTGAATTTTAAAAACATTACTTAGCTTACGTATCAGAATTAGTTTTAATGTAATTTATATAGTACAATATTAATTTGTTTAAAGAATTATTATTTATATCTATACTTTTCCCTTCATATTCTCTGTACCTCTTATAATCAGAGTTTGAATTTGATCAAATACTTTTTCTCAAATTATTTATGATATGAATTAGATTAGTACATATTCATATCTCAAATAATTGTATTGAAATATAATAAAAACTTTATGTATAACAAAAATATTATTGTGGACAGATCCTAAGGTGACTACTACTGATCTCTGCCTTCTGGTATTCACACATTATTGTATAATCCCCTTTCATTGAGTCTGGGCAGGATGTGTGACTTGGTTCTAAACTAGAAAATTTAGCAAAGGTGATGGGGTATCACTTCTATGGTTATGTTTAGTGTTTTGTGTGTGTGTACGGTGTGAGGATTGGGTCTAATCCTGTATTTTTCCAAATGGCCATCCAGTTGTCTCAGTACCATTTAAGACGATGAATGTCTTTACTCCAGTCATTCAGAACACTATGCTTATCTTATACTAGATTTCTAGATTTTTCTGGAATTTCTGGAATTTTGTTTCTGGAATTTCTCTTCTGTACCATTTATCTTTCTATTTATGTACTGATGCCGTACTGTTTTAATTTTATAGATGTTGAGTATATTTTAATGTCTTTTCAGTCTAGCTCCCCTCAAAGCTCTTCCTTTTCATTGCTGTTTCTAGCTATTCTTGTATGTTTATTTCTGTATATGAACATTAAGATCAACTTTTCTAGCTCCTTTAAAGCTCATTAGAATTTTTATTAGATCAAATTAACCATTGTCATTGAAATGAACTGACAACCTGATGATGTTGAGATAGCCTAATGAAAAATGAGGAATATCTTTCAGTTTATTTATATCTACTTTTGTGTTTTTCAGGCTGAATTTTATGCCTAAAATTTCATTATGTTTCCTCTGCAACTATTTATTTCCCCAGTTGTTTGTAAGCACTGGTGATTCTTTAAATAATACCTGAAATTAAAATACCAAAAATTGGTGTTTAAGCTCACTCAACTCATAATTATATATTTTGAAAATACTTTTGATACATTCAAAATTCTTTCAATAATTATTAATATAAAACCTTTTAGACAATGTATGTTTCTAATTTGCTTTCTTGAGTTTGAAAATATAAAAGAGAGTGTCGTTTTTATATTGGACACCTTCAAGAACTCTATAAAGCCTCTGAGTTTAATTCTTAACAAGGTGGTGTTAATTCCTTATTTGTGTCAAAATTCTGAGCTTGAGTTATAAAAGCCAGCAGAAGTTACTTCCGAAACAAGAGAATATAATTTCATCCTTCTGAGAAAATGTGTGTTTTGGAGAAAATAATTTTTTTTTTTTTTTTTTTTTGCGGTATGCGGGCCTCTCACTGTTGTGGCCTCTCGCGTTGCGGAGCACAGGCTCCGGATGCGCAGGCTCAGTGGCCATGGCTCACGGGCCCAGCCGCTCCGTGGCATGTGAGATCTTCCCAGACTGGGGCACGAACCCGTGTCCCCTGCATCGGCAGGCGGACTCTCAACCACTGTGCCACCAGGGGAGCCCTGGAGAAAATAAAATTTTAAGTATTCCTTTTAAAAACTATATTATGTTGAAGGTAAACATGTTACAATAATGTCCAGTCCAATATATTATTATATAATTTGAATAAACTAATTATTAATAACAAAAATGAAAGCTTCATATCTTCCGTATTGGAAAATAGGTTTGTATTGGAGCTCTTAAAGTCAACTCATAGATAAATTAAAAAGTACTTGAAATCCCTTGTCATTTGTCAAAGTTATTCATCTTAGATTGCTATGTGAACTTGAAAGCCATCTATTTAGGCAGTAAGATATACAGGGAATACCATGCATAACACAGCAGGGAATATTATGTTGAATATTTTCCTGTTCTAAAAATAGTGTTGTGATACCCATTTGCAACAAGTCAAGTTCACTTTTTGTGAGAGAAAAAGGAGTTATAACGGTATTGTAAATCAGTCCTTTATGTATATACTTGGTACAAAGTGATAGGATTTAAGTAGATGAGTCTAAAGGAAGGGACAATAGTATAGGAATAATATAGATTCTGAAGTACTTAACCTAGCAGTAATGAGTATGATCATTTTCGAAAGCTAGAAAATTACTATATAACACACATTTAAAAAGTAACTTTTGGAGAAGTCACAGAAAACCTAAGATTACCCCCAAGTTCCTTTTTTCCAGAGAATAAAGTTAGTGGTATAAAGAGCTATATATTTCTACTTTAATCTTGTAGTTACTGTAGAAAAGTATTTACTCTTCAACTCATTTTTTTTTCATGGATGCAAAAAATTATCAAGCACATGACTGAAAATTGCATTCAGAATGTAACTGATTATTTACTTTATTATTCTCAACTGTTTGACCCTTCATTAATTAAAATATATATGTATTAAAATTATTTCTCAGTTCTAAGTAACTCTACTAAAACTAAAGACATTTTTGGAAGAATTTTCTCACCTTTTAAAATTCTGCATATAATTTAAATATTGAGTCACTTTATACAATTACCCTTGTGTACACTTTATAATAATTAAATTTGGATGGCGTTCCAAGAAGTAGTATTATGCAAAGCCAAGCTATATATCTGTTAGTCACTAATTGTCATTTTAATTGAATTGTAGAAATAAGGATTGAAAGAATATGGGCTTCACAAATTTTCAAAATACTTATGATTTTCTCTAATTTTAAAGAATTTAACTTAGAATTCATGAGTTTGAACGCTCATGTGTTCTTTCATTTTGTTATAATCTGCTTACATGAATTTAGAGTTTGAACTCCTGAATTTAGGGCTGGATGATTTAGAGAAAACTTTCCTCCATTACACAATTGAGGAGGTTTTTTTTTCAGTATGTGGGCCTCTCACTGTTGTGGCCTCTCCCATTGCGGAGCACAGGCTCGGGACGCACAGGCTCAGCGGCCATGGCTCACGGGCCCAGCTGCTCCGCGGCATGTGGGATCTTCCCGGACCGGGGCACGAACCCATGTCCCCTGCATCGGCAGGCGGACTCTCAACCACTGGGCCACCAGGGAAGCCCGAGGAGGTCTTTTTAAAATACAGATTTATTGGTTTAGAAACTGGGGAAAAATATATTAATTTCAAAGAATACCAGAAGTAAGAAAAATATGTGATTTATGAATTCCCACAACTTTTTCCCCCTACCTAAAAATGTCTTTAAATCTTTATCCAGACTTGAAAATTCTTCCCCATATTGTTAAGGGAGAATACATATCCCCCAAACTTTTATCTGATCCCCTATATTCCTCTTGTGTATGTTTGTCTTTTCCACTTATTTCTTCTCTCATGCATTCCCTTATATAGGCTTTCTACATTAATTCTTTTGAAGATTTGTTTTTAAAACTTCAATTAATAGTAGTTTTTAAGATGTTTTAATGTAGAGTTTAATTACTTTTTTGCTGGAACGAAAAACATGAGGCTTTTGAATTTTGTTGCTTAATAGTAAATGAGATTTTTGTATTTCTACAGATGTGACTCTGAAAATCGCTATGTTGGTAATCCACTTAGAGGAACATGTTATTGTAAGTATTTGTATTTTTTATTTTAAATAGTTGGTTTGTTTTATTAGTTTCAGGTGATTTTGCAGGTAATAAAATTCATATTGAATAACTGATGTTGTCGTTAATATGTTACCATTTCTATTTTTAAATCTTTTAACTCCATATATATTGCTAAGAAAGTCAATGTCTTCTTGCTGTATTCTCTAATTATATTTGGTGCATTTTTTTCTACTCTGAAGAGTAAAACAGCAATAGATCTTATTCTGAACATGCAACAAAATATAGAACTTGAGTAAACTCAGCTGGATTTTGATGTAATCTTTTTCATTATGATTAAATTTAGAACAGATAGAATTTTGTGATAGATTTTTCCGGGAGGCAATTTTGGTTATTACTAAAAAGCTGCGCTGATTTTGTACTGAAAGATCCTTTTATTGGGTAATGATCATATGGCAGATGTATGTTTAACTTTCAAGAAACAAACAATTTCCAAAATGGTTGTATTACTTTACATTTCCAGTAGCAGTGTATGAGATTTTTAGTTCTGCAGAATCTCTCGGTAAAAAAACCTTTTGTAGGTTTCATCATATCTTTTTTTACGTAGACAATAATGTGCTCTGCAAATAATGGAATTTGATTACTTCATTTTCTCGCTGGATGCCTTTTTGTTTTTTTTTTTTGGTCTTATTGCATTGGTACCTCTGGTATCATGTAAAAAGATATGATAAGCATGCAATTATTTTTGACTTGTTCCTGATCTTAGAGGGAAAGCACTCAGTCTTTCACCATTAAGTATGTTGTAAACTTTTCATATATGCCTTTATTAAGTTGAGGAAATTCCCTTCTATTCCTACTCTGTTGAGTATTTTTATCAAGAATGGATGATTTTTATGTCATACATTTTTTCTACCTCAATTGAGATGTCCATAAGGTGTTTCTATTTTACTTTGTTAGTATAGTAATTTTAGTTTCAAAAATTAATGGATGGTATCACATTATATGGATATATCACTGTTTTTTGGTCCATCTACCAGTTGATGGACATTGGGATTATTTCTAGGCTTTGGCTATTAGAAAAATGCTGACATTTAGATAGTCTATGTACTTTCATTTTTGGGGGGTGGATTCCTAGGAGTGGAATTGGAAGGTTAGATGATATGCTTATGGTCAAGAAACTGTCAAATGGTTTTATAGCATGGATATACCGTTTTACATTCCCACTAGCAATTTATATGTTTCAGTTTTTCTACATTCTCATCAACACTTTATATTGTCTATCTTTTTGATTATAGCCATTCTAGAGTATTAGTAGTATCTTGTGGTTTAAATTTGCATTTCTATTATGACTGATAACTCTGAGTTCAATTTCATGTGTCCATGTCTTGAACATGTATTGTTAGATATGTAAAATACTAATTTCCTAATACTTTTGTTGCTATTTCAAATAGTATGTTTTAAAACTACATTTTCTATTTGTTTGATATGGTAAAATGAACTTCCTTTTAGTATACTGATCTGACATTCATAAAGGTCAGTGAACTCTGTTATTAATTCTAATAGTTTATAAATGTTTGATTTTTAAATACAGTTAGTTATATTACATGCAAATAACTTTTATTCCTCACTTTTCCAATTTTTTATGCCATTATTGGGATGGTTGGGATCTCTCTTTCAGTGCTGAGTCAAAATGATGGTAGTAGACATTGCCATCAAGTTGAGAGTTTGCTATAATTTATAGGATATTCCCTGTATCAAGTTAAGAAAATTCCTGTCTATATTAGTGTGCTGCAAGATTTCATCATGAGTGACTTTTTCCTTTACCTTGTTATATATGAAGCTGAATTAATAGATTTTCATTAATTAGACATCTTTTCATTCTGGGGTAAACCAAACGTAGTTATGATATATTATTTTTGGGGATACTGCTAAATATTATTTGTTTATATTTTATTTAGGATTATTTTCAGTATAAATGAATGCAGACTATATTTTTACATTATATTTTTCTGATGAATTGACCTTTGAGTTGTTGTTTTTCTTTTCTAACTTCATATTGTGTAACTATGGTAATAACTTTTAAAGTTGAATTTGACAAGATTGCTGTTTTATTTTTTTATTTTTTAACGTCTTTATTGGAGTATAATTGCTTTACAATGGTGTGTTAGTTTCTGCTTTATAATAAAGTGAATCAACTATACATATACATATATCCCCATATCTCCTCCCTCTTGCATCTCCCTCCCACCCTCCCTATCCCACCCCTCTAGGTGGTCACAAAGCACCAAGCTGATCTCCCTGTGCTATGTGGCTGCTTCCCACTAGCTATCTATTTTACATTTGGTAGTGTATATATTTTAAAACAAGAATAGTTAAAAAATATCAAGTGAACTTCAAAGGTTAGCTAAATTCAACTGAGATCTCTGGGTCTCGTGCTTCTTTATTGGTAGTTTTTTTCTGTTGTTGTTCATCTTTTTTCCCCCCATATTATAGCATTGGCTTTGGGTTTATTCATCCTTTCCACTGATTTTGTTTTCTAGTTCATCAGTTTTAGGTTTTGTCTTTAGTAATGTCCTTCTCTTTTATAGTTTATAATTGTTGTTTTGCCTACATTTGGTATGTTTTCTTATTAATATTATTTTCTACATAGTTTATGGTTCAATTTTTATATTCTTTTTGTATTTTATGTAAGAATTTTCTTAATTTCAATTAAGTAAATCTTATTAAAACCATCTTTTAATTATGTTTTCTAATTTTCTTGAGAATGCGGCATAAAAAGATTCCAAAACCTACTAAGGTATTTTGTAGCCTGTGGGACATTTGACAGTGTTTGGAGGCATTTTTATGTATCACAAGTAGGAGTGGTTTGTGGGTCCTATGGACTTCCAGTGGGTAGAGGGTGTTATATATTCTACAGTGCACATGAGAGCTCCTTAGAACAAAGGACCCAAAATTTCAACATTGTGGGGGCTGAGAAATCCTGATTTAGAGGTTTAATCAGATGCAGATGTGATTTTGGAGGAAACACTATTTCACAGGTGGGTTTGTGTTCTTCATGTAGCAGAAGTAAGTAATGCCTGTAAGTCTCTCTTTTTATGTTCTTAGCAGAGACTGATGCGCAATGTTAGATTGTAGTTGATTAAGAGTTGTAAGCTGGTATTCTAACTCCTTTATTTCTTGATTGAAAAACTTCTGTAAAATCAAATTTCCTCATGCGAGGTATTTGCTTTCTCATTGGTACAGTCATATAGGAAAGGCATGATAAATGCTTTGTTTTTTTTACTTACTGGTTTTCAAAATAAAGAACTGTTTGCTTAATATCTTTCCAAGGTGACAACTAGATTTGTTGTTTTTGTGTTGTAAATTTATGGACACAAACATATTTAATATGTTTCAATCCACTTGCAATTATTTTCTTTACTGATGTTTATATTATCTATTTTCTATGTCTTTTAATTGATCCTTGTTGTCTATATTTTCCACATTCATTTTGTTTTACTTCTTTCAAACATCCTGGATTTTATGGAGACGTATTTTTGTCTGATTTCTTAAAATTAGATATTCTTAATTGATTCTTCTTGAATCTTTAGTGTTTCTTGTGTCCCAAAGGAGTAACTAGTTACAATTATGGACACAAGTAAATTACATTCCTTTTTTTTAGGAATAATAAATATACTAATATTTAAGCCTTTTATATTTGAGACTAAGCTGATTTTTCTTTAGATCAGTGCTATCCAAAATAAATATAATGTAAGCCACATGTGGAATTAAAATTTTTCTACTAGCTACATCACAAAAATTAAACAGGTGAAATCATTTTGAATAATATAGTCTATTTAATTCAGCATACCTAAAATGTTATTTTAATATGTCACAGTATAAAAATCATCAATGACCTATCTTTTTTTTTTAGTTTTTCTTCTAGGTGTTTGAAATACAGTTTGTATGCTATACTAATGGCAGTCCCAATTCAAATCAGTCACATTTAAGTTACTCAGTAGGCACATGTGAATAGTGGCTACCATATTGGACAGCTCATCTATTATATAGGACTCTCACCCTCTTTTAAAAATGTTAAAAGGATAGTCATGAAGCACTAGATGGCAGTCTTGTCATTTGTTATGAGACCTTTAAAGTTTAATAACATTTAAAAGAAATGGTGTTAAAAAAAAAAAGGTCAGTAGTTCTTGTAATAGTGTTAATGGAAACGATTCTGATTTTAAAGATTGGAGTGAAATTTAAAATGCAGGTCCACACTGTAACTTGAAGCAATTGAGTGCAATGTGGTTTTAAGTTAATTGAATGTAATACTTCAGCAGTTATATCCTATAGACAGTCATAGTAGTTTTTTAAACTTCAATTTAAAACCCCAAACCAAATGTATTAGATAGTTATCATGCATCACATGGAATAAAAAGAGTTTCTAGCAATGATATCAAATTTGATTGACCCTTGTAAACATTGAAGTACTCCTCTTGGCAAATATGAAAAGTAGTAACCACAAAGTAGTATAGTTTCTTTTTTTCTTAAATTGCTTTTTAAAAAATTATAACAACAATTATAATAAAGAAAACCTTAAACACAAGATGAAAGACTCGACTATGAAAATGTTATATAGAGGGTATATTTCAATGAGTAGAATCAGAGTATGGAAAGTCACTTACTGAAATCATCTACTTTTTGCTCCTACTATGTGTAATGTCCACACTGTCAATTGTATTTCAGTATATTTCCAAGTAATCTAACATATTTGGGTTTTTTTCTCCTTTTACTCTGAACAATTACTATTTTACTTGATTTTCTCCTATTGCTGTGTAGAGTTCAGTGTGCAATTTTGTGGTGAAAATAATACACTGCCTCTTTTAAGAGTAAGGAATTTAATTACTACTTTTATATTCAGTGTTCACCTCTACCACTCATCACATCTTACCTTAGATTATATTACTAAAAATCAAAATACTTATCTATTCATCTCACTGTAAACCCTTTAATTATTATTGATTTATTTAATTAATGTTTGTCTT